CTAGGGGCTTTTGAATGAAATGTTGTCTGCTGTTAGGTGCCATCGAGTTGGTTCTGACTCATAGGAACCCTCTACACAACAGAATGAAACACTGCCCAGTCCCATGCCATTCTTACTATATCGTTGTTATGCTTGAGCCCACTGCTGCTGCCACTGTGCCAATCCATTTTATTGGGGGTCTTCCCATTTTTTGATGACCCTCTACTTTACTAAGCATGATGTCCTTCTCCAGAGATTGGTCCTTTCTGATAATATGTCCAAAGTCTGAGAGATGAAATTTTGCCATCCTAGTTTCTAAGGAGTATTCTGGCTGTACATCTGTCAACACGGATTTGTTTGTTCTTCTGGCATGAAATAGAACTAGATTAATCCTGGTTCTGTCTTCTTGTTAACTAAGTGACATCACTGAGCCTCAGTTTTCCCAGGTATGAAATGGGATTAATAACAGGGTCTACTTTGTAGAGTTGAAAGGATCAAAAGAAATAACCGCAGTAAAGAATTTAGCACAGGAGGTGGTAGTTATGATTGTTAAGTGCCACCAAGTCATTTCAGACTCATAGTGAGCCAGTATAGGGTTTCTGAGGACTGCCTGGTGAGTCTGAATTGCTGACCTTGAGGTTCAAACCTGGTCAAGGAGATTCTACAGGACTTGTTGCTGTGTGTGCGGGTGAGTCTATGCTGACTCAGAGACTGATTTCATGTGGCAGAGAAGGGCTGCCACTAGGCTTTTCTTGACTCTAATCTTTTAGAGTCCTGGTGTGGTGCTGTGGGTTAATGCGCCAGACTGCAAAGCCATTTGAACTGCAAGGTCGGTGGTTCAAGCTCACCAGCTGCTCCTCGGAAACCCTATATAGGATCGCTATGGGTCGGAACCAACTCGAAAGCACTTGACAGCAACAACAATGTTTTACAGAAGCAGCCTGTCAGGTCTTTTCCCATGGAGCCACTGGGTGTTTCATGGATGCTATGTGGACACATCATGGAGACAGGTTGCTATGTGGATGAAATTTGCATAATGTGCAAAGGTGCTTGGAGGAAAATGAATGTAAAGTAATACCTAAGACAGTGTTAACATCATTTCCATTTTATTTGGGGTGCAGATTACCTGGGCTGTCTGGGTAGGAACTGGGTCATGGGAAGAAGGAAAAGTAAGAAACACCAGGAATGATTCTGACATTAAAAACATCCCAGACAAAAGGATAATACACTCGACATTCTGAAATATCTTTCAAATAAGTTCCACTGTACTCACACGCTCATAATGAAACAAATGTGCAGAAGAAGAGTATAATGTCTAATCTAATAGTGCTTGTTTTAAGAGGTATTTTGAAGATAAATAAAATAAAGTACACTTTACACAGCTGGTAGCTAAACAAATAGAATTCATTGCCCAAAGGGGACTAAGCCTAGGTGGAAGAAATGTTTAGATAAGCTCATGGATAATGGATCTTTAATGAGTTATCACGGGAAAGTTAAGAGTATTCATTGTATACACCTAAAACTTGAGGCTGATAGTATTAATAACAACATGAACTGTTGTTCTAACATTAACTTGGCTTTTCTAATGAATTTACATGGCTAGTATCTTGGTCCGGGTGGACTTTTCTTTTTGACTCAACATGGAATTTCCTGTGTTCTAATGTAAGGCACAGGAAAGATCTGAAGAGCTATAATATGTGGCAGCGCTTGCTCAGCTTATTAACTGGATTGCCTGTGGTTTTGAAAAGCTTCCTCCTCTTAATAGTCATATTGAAATCCACTGGGTGGCAAGAACAGAGCACATACTACCTTAAGGGTCACTCTAGCATACGACATTAATGCATCAGTCCCTAATTTGGAAACCTGTGGTCACTCAGCAAGACAGAATTTGTCTCTCTCTCTTGGTGTAATGATTTTTATTTTGCAGTCTCTCTCGGGGTAAGTCCTTGCAGGCTTGGGATGTTGAGAATCAGAGACTGCCTCTAACAATATGGTTGTGATTCTCTGCTTGGCTGATTTAGCTAAGCATTTAAGTAACCACTAATCTTCTGAAAGCACCAGGGTCTACTTAGAGAAATCCCTGTTGTCTGCAAGGATGGAAACAAAATCAGCATGGAGGAAGCATTAGTTACTAAACACCAATCAATCTTGTTGGTTTCCACCTAGCCCTAGTCCTTGCCACTATCAGAGGTGTGGTTTCTGGGCAGTGAGTCTTCATTCTGCAGGTGCAAGAGCAGTTCATGACTGACCAACAGGGAAGAGGAGTTGGGGAAGTAGCAGGAGCAAAAAGGCTTTTATTAAAGTTCCTAAGTATAAGTCAAACCACATAGTAAGGGACAAATCTCACATATGCTTTTAAGTGAAAGAAGTTTGACACAAGAGAACATACTATACAATGTCATTGATAGAAAATTACAAGAGCACCCAAACAAATTTTTTTGTTCAGTGTGTGTGTGTGTGTGTGTGTGGGTGGGTGTGTGTGTATGTAGAAGGGAGGGTAGTAGCTGGGACATGAGGTAGGTGGGTATCTGGACTGGTGACATAAATGAATTCACTTTGTGAAAATCCATTGAATTGTATCCTTATGATTTATAGTTTGTTGGAGCTTCAAGAAAAGGTTATTTGAAATACGCATCCTAATATTTCCTCTTTGATTTGAAAGAAAGTAAGTTTGACATTTCAAACGATTATGAAATTTATCAGTATAATTTAGATTATTCTTGCTTGCCTCAATTACCTTGATACTCTGAGTTAAGATTTACTGGAGTCTGAATGTTCTAAAATTCATCATTCTGCACTGCTGACGCCTACAAGAACGAGAAAGAAATCTCCCAGACTTGAAGAAAAATACTTGAATGCATACAATTAAGTCTATCATTCCAAATGTGCATGACTCCATCGAGGTGGAGGTGTGTTGTCTGAGCATCTCTGTTGCAGAAACATGAGCTCATGGAGAATGGGAACTCCATGCATTAGCAGGCTCTGGATCTAAAGTTGGGAACTCTGGAGTCTCCTCCTGGCTTTGCAACATGGACTTCCCCCCTCAAAAAGTGTCACATCTGTGCCTCCGCTACCCATGTATAAAATTAAAGGAAGATATTTGAATGAGAGATTGTTTTGGAAAAAGGTTTGAGTTTACCATTACTTAAGACAAATACTGAAAGGGGACATTAATAAAGATAGCGGCAAGAAGTGGGAGTAGCATCTGCTTAGGGTAGAGGAGGTTTGTGATACGCAGAAGAAATGCACAAGGAAACAAAAAGAAACACATGCCTGAGTTGTAGGGAAATCCCTTTGCCAATAAACTCTATTGAGTTGAAAATATGCTCAGGAGGGAAGGAGTAGGAAGAGTCCTTCTGATGGAAATAGATCAAACTGAAAAGTGGCCATCATTCTATTTGGCCATGAGCACTAACAAATGCTACCTTTAACATCCGAGTTTTTCCCTGTGGTGCTGGACTGCAAGGCCATTTGAACCACAAGGTCTGGCAATTCAAGCTCACCAGCCACTCCTCAGAAACCCTGTACAGGGTCACTATGGGTCAGAATCGACTCAACAGCACTTAACAACAACAACACTGTTGGTTCAAGCTCATCAGCAGCCTCTGAGAATCCTATAGAGGGATGCTATGGGTCAGAACTGACTTGATGGCATTTAAACAATAACAACAATTGTTAGGGAATCCTAATGCATTGTTAAAGAAATAACAATATCCTATCTTGCATTTTCTTAATTTTAAGAAATTAAGAACACACACATTCATATACATACTTGTATATCTTCTTTCCATGTAATAAAGTTGCTTTTGCAATGTTTGAGGAGATTCTAAATCTGGGCATTGAATTTTCAGTTTTCTGTTTCTTAATTGTTGTTGTTGTTAAGTGCCGTTGAGTCTGTCCCGACTCATAGTGACCCTTAGAGGGTTTCAGAGGAGCAGCTAGTGAGTTCGAACTGCTGACCTTGCTGTTCAAACTAACCTTGAAGTCTAGTGTTTATCCTGCAGTGCCACACCAGTTCTACTTTTTCTTAATACTCCTGAACATTTGTTTAAATTGTTGACTGTATTGTGACCTTAAGGAGCTCCGGCAGCGTAGTGGTTACAAGTCAGGCTGCCAACGGCAAGGTCAGCAGTTCAAAACTACCAGCGGTTCCGTGGGAGAAAGATGAGGCTTTCTGCTCCTGTAAAGATTTATAACCTTGGAAACCCTGTACAGAGGTGACTACGAGTCAGAACCGACTTCATGGTACTTAACAACAACAAATGTGACCTTGAACTTGGCTTCAGCTGAAGAGAAACTATTGTTGGTTTGGAGAAACAATGAGTTACTCTTGCTGGAGTGGGTGTTCAAGGTCTGTGTAGCCCCCAATTATTTATATTCTTCTCAGCCAGCAACTCACTGAAAGTCAGGTTTGGGTAAGACTTTGGACAAAGGAGAGACTGAGAAGACGGGATATATAATAATCATGACTCCCTGACCCATCCATTTCCTTTAGAAAGGTAAGCACTGGAGAGTCAGGAGTCATGGAAGGTGCAAATGGCTAATGCACCCAGCTGCTAAATGAAAGGCTGGAGGCGTGAGTGCACTTCGAGGGGCCTGGAAAGGAAGGCCTGGTTGGTGGTCTAGTTCTAAGAAATCAGCTAGTGAAAATCCCATGTTGCACTGTTATACTCTGAAGCACATAGAGTTCCTTTGAGATGGAGTCAGCTCTCTGGAAAATGGTCTGGGGGGACTCAGGAAGAACCATAAACCTCTAAGCAGAATGGAGATCACTTTGGCAGACTGAATAGAGAGTTTTCTTAGTTTTAGGAATTTCCCACGGAATTTGTAACAAGCACTTACCCATTCAGTTCAAAAGTCCCATTCTCAGACATAAAGAAATTCATCAGTGTTTTGGCCTAAACACAGGATTCAATTCTACCAACCTCATGGGCTTTTTTTCAAATAAGTAGATAAAAACACAATCAAACACAACAGTTTAGAGAGTGAAGAAAATCTCTTTGCCCTGGCAAGCTCACCTTTTAGCTTTTGCTGAGATGGGCACCAAGCTTTTCTTTCCTGATCAGACTTGCTGCATAGGGTATCTGTAAGATAGAAACAAGCACAGCCATGCAGTAAGCTAAACCTGGAGACACAAGAGTAACCGAGACACTTTGTCTAATAATTTGAGTGACAACGGGCCCTTGGTGAGGTCTCCATCTGCTCAGCACTGTGTGCTCCTCTGGCCTGTGAAAAAGCACACCAACCACACTGAGTGGATGCTACAGCTGGTCCCTGAAGGTGACAGGTGATGTTTCACCAAAAACAAACCCCAAAGAACCTGTTTTTAAAATTGCAGTACACGCTATTATTTTTTATTTTGATATGAAAACTGAGTTATGATATTAACTATTTTGTCCAAGGTCACAAAACAAGAATGTAATTACAAACTTGTTGTTGTGAAGTGCCATTGTGTCGGTTCCAACCCATAGTGACCCTGTATAGGGTTTCTGAGGAGCAGCTGGTGAGCTTGAACCACCGACATTGTAGTTCAAACGGCTTTGCAGTCTGGTGCATTAACCCACAGCGCCACACCAGGACTCCGACTACAAACTACAGTGTAATCTTTCATTTTATTACAGTGACTTCTTCATGAATATATTACCATTACGAATCACAGTAAGACTAAATACAGACTATTACTCTAGGTAATGTACCAGTAACTAACATGAAGGACCAGAAATGATTGCATAGAATGGAAAACACCACCTTTGAGAATTCTACCTGGATAACTTAAAAAGTACTCTTGAATATGGGGCTTTGATTGAAAACTCTACCTCATTTGATAAGCTATTTTTCATTAGAATATCTCACAATTGAAATTAGAACATGAATTATTTAGATTTGTCTCTCTACCAACCCCAGTTAAGGTTTGTTGCTGTTGTGAAGTGCCGTTGAGTTGGTTCAGACTCATAGTGACCCTGTATACAGTTTCCAAAGAGTGGCTGGTGGGTTTGAACTGCCGATCTTGCAGTTAGCAGTCCAGTGCTTATCTTACTAGAACTCCAGTTAATGTATTCTATCATTATATTACTCACCTTTGCCATTACAAAACTAAACTCAGTACTTCAAAAATCTGAATTTATTTTACATTTAAAGAAACAAATAATCCACCCCATAGAATGTAACTTGAAATTTGGCTATTATGTAACAACACTGGGGAATAAAATAATTTTCATTACAAATTGGCAATGCGCTATTATATGCATGGCCCACATTCCCGGCATATTTGGATGTTTTATCTCTTCTGGCCCGCCAGTCCATGACTGTTGTTGTTGTTGTTGTTAAGTGCCGTTGAGTTGGCTTCAACTCATACCGACCCTGCATAGGGTTTCTGAGGAGTGGTTGATGAGCTTAAACCACTGACCGTGCAGTTCAAGTGGACTTTGCGGTCCAGTGCATCAATCCCCAGTGCCACACCAAGACCTTTAAAAAATGGGAAGAAGTTACACATTTACAGCGATGCTAGTGACTAAGATGACTTGCATCATTATATCATAATAACTGATCCACTGAATCCAATAGTGTTTTTAATGGGGGTTAGGGAGGAGGGACACTCAGTAAGTATCTCCAGGTTTTGATACACAACCAAGATGGAGGGATGGGATACGCACGTATCTGAGGAAAGGTGCAGATGGCAGCAGTGAAATGAATGATTCATACAGTGCATACAAAGTCCTGTGTCCTAATGTCATATTTTAGAACGTGGGCTAGATAACCATGACAAAAACAGCCACACAGGGACCTACTCTAGTTACTTAGTCTTTCACTGTGGGTTATGCAACACCAGCTATGAACGCGATGCCATTGAACTTCGGGTTCCATTATGGTGTATCCTGCAATATGCAGAGGTACTGGGCTCACCTTTCTGTCTAGATGCGTAGTGTAACAGAGCCTTGTGTGGAGCTCTATTATTTAGGGTCACAAGTGGAACTGATATCAACTTTTGGGCAGAAGGAGTTACCAATAAACCGCCACTCTCACATTTAGAAGGAATTCTCAACATTGAGGTTACATGATACAAAGATTTAGTAAGTATCTGCTGTGTGCCAAGTACTACACAAGATAGGTAAACATAACTATGAGCTAGCTCATTAAAATGAAGACACTACTACTTTAACCCAAAGAAAACTACTTTATTGAGAGACACTACTCTCAGATAAGTCAGAATGTTCCTTGCACCCTGAAGCAATAACGTAACATTCGTTATAATGGAAAACTGAAAAGGAAAAGAAAAAGGACTGGAGGATGGGGGGAGGGAGAGACATTTCCAAATAAACACAATTGCTTCTCAAAGTTCCAGATTGGAATTTAAACCCATGTCAGGTTTATCCGTACTTCAACATTGATTGTTGTGTTTATTTCATTAATACAAAATTAAATAAAACCCAAGCTGCCACGACAAAAACCACAGAGCAAAAAGATGCGAACTGAGGGTACTAGGTATCTTTTGGGTTCATATATCTTGCTTTTCAGACAATAAACACAAACATACTTTCATACAGTTTTAACAGTTATAGTAAGAGAACAGTTGTTGTTGTTAAGAATCATCCAGTAGGTTCCGACTGATATCTACTCTGTACAGAGTTTCCAAGGAGTAGCTGGTGGGTTTGAACTGCCAACCTTGATGTTAGCAGTCCAGTACTTATCCTACAGTGCCACACCAGAACTAGCAATGAGTAAAATCTGCAGTAATGATCTTCCACTAAGCCCAGTTTTAACTTAAAATCTGTCCAATTCAACTGGATAATATTAAACTGATGTATTATTAATTCTAAACTCCAAATCATGAATGATCAATAAAGAACATAAACACATAACTTAATTATTCATGGAAACTACCATAGTCCAACAATTCTAAGACACATTTTCTCCCCTCACGTTTAAACATCTCTGAATCAGCTGTGTCTTAAAATTGGTGGTAACCAGTTGGAAACTTTCTTTCTTTTGATACATCAAATAATGGGGCTTCTCACAAGTGATGGTGTTTCAGATTCCATGAAATGCAAAATTGGATTTACAGAAACCTCAGCAAAGGGAACTGAGGATTTGGGAGGTTCCACTTGTGGCGCTGTAAGATAAGCAAGCAGACGCTCCATGGAAACTCTATACAGGGGGGTCACTATATCGCAACAACAACTTAATTATTTCATGCAAATCTCCTACAATAGGATTTACAAAAACTTTCATTTCATTTTGACAAGCTTGGAGTTCACCAAGATTGGCATGGAAAACCCAAATTCAAAGTATTACATTACTTTGAAATTATGCAGTTGGTTCTAGAGAATCAAAAATCTCGGGAACTTCTCAAAGAAGATAACTTCCTCATTTGTGCCGACAGACGGCCTGAGCTCTGACTTCAGGTGGACCAACATCACAAAAGGACAAAGATGAGAAGAAGTAAGTGATGCACTGGTAAGATGTGTGACTGTGGACCAATAATTGGGAAAAGATGCACAAAATCAAAGTCTGTCAACACCTGGAATAATCCTCTGGTAGCTTCCATGGAAGTCCAGACCCTCACCTAGCAATGTGACATGCAGGGAGCTCTTTTGGGTGTATGTTTAGCCACAAACAGCCACCTCTAGTGGCCAGGCATCCTTGTCTAAAAATATAGTGCAAAATTGTAACTGTTCTATCTGTTTTGTAAAACAGATGTAAAATACATTTTTTAAACCCTGTGGGTTGAAACGGTAGAATTTGGGCGAGTTCGCATCCTAATGAATACTGGAGGGCCTCCAAGAACAGGCCTCCGCACTCAAGAGCTATGCCCTTGCCGAGGAGTACCTCTCCAGCAATGCTAAAGACCGTCCTCCTTCCCCTCTCTCCATCAGGTAGTTGTAAACTGCTTTTTTACAAGTCCACAGTGAACAAACATTAGTACTAAATCTATTGATTGAACATTATTTTAATTGAGGCTTTTAATGAAGAACTTTGAGACTCTTTCCATTGGCTGCGTGAGGCTGTAGCACTCTGTAGAAACAGCAGAGGGCGCTTCAAGACTAGCTCATTTTCTGGGCCCACAGACCTGGTAATAGCGATCCGGCAAGTTCCAAAGATGTGAGTCTGGATTTAGCCACCTATCATTGGTTCTAAGTTTCAGCTTCACAACATCCTTCAAGAACTAAGAAAAAGCTGTGTCTTTAACAAACCTGCAGTAGTAATTTTTACAGAGGCACTTGTTTAAAACATTGTTGTTCAGTTAGCAATTTCAAAAAACAGGTTATCAAGGCATCGTAATTGTTTTCATAGTTTTAGCTCATTTCACAAATTACAGTCCGTGGAAAATTTCTAATCAAAAGGTTATTTCACTGAGTAACTATCTTAAGATTCTTCCTAACATAAAGAATTTTTTAAAATTAAACAAATTTCTCCTAATTCTTTGTGAAATTCTTTGCTATTTATTATAGTAAACACTGACAGTTGATGAACTTGCTAAATTTTAAACTTTCATATTGGTTCGTAGCAGTTCGCGGGTGGTACAAATGGGTAAGCATGTGATTATTAACTGCAAGGTTGTTTGTTTTAACCAACCCAGAGATATTTCAGAAGAAAATCCTGGTGATCTTCTTCCAAAAGATCAGCTATTGAAAACCTGATGAAGTACAGTTCTACTCTGATATCTGTGGGGTTTCCATGAGTCAAAGCTGACGCAACAACAACTTGTTATAGGTTATATTTGTTCATTGTAAGAGGGATACATTTATTTGCTTGTGTAAATAAAACCCATTTAGAAATGAAAACATTTAAGTATTTGAAAACCAAGGACAGGGGTGGGAGGCCTTAATACAAACTGCTAAGTACCAAAAATTCAAAATTTAACTGGTTTTTAACCATTAGTTGTGGCCATGTGTAAATGCTAAAAATATGAATTCTGTGTTGCTTTAAATCTCATTTTGAAATAAATGTGCGTTCATTTATAACTGCACAAATCGATCAATCATTTGACTCTAGAGACATCACAACTTTGCATCTAACAAACTGGAAACGGAAGCAATGGTGCAGAAATTATAGTCCGCAGAGAATCTAAAAATGAGGAGCCAAA